GGGGGTGGGGCGGGGCGGCGCGGGGGGAGCCAGGCCAGGGCTGTGGCTGACCCAGCCACGGGGAGGGGACCTCGCTAGGCCACAGGAAAACAAATTACAGGCCCCTCTAGCTCAGTAATTTTTTTGCGGGGTGTGAAGAAATATTTACCATTGAAATAAACGGACACAATGGAGGCTGGGCTTAGGCAGCTGTGAGACAGTAATTGTAGGAGCAACAGGGTCCCCTGGTGCTAGTTAGATGCAGTTCTGACCCAGCCACGGGGAGGGGACCTCGCTAGGCCACAGGAAAACAAATTACAGGCCCCTCTAGCTCAGTAATTTTTTTGCGGGGTGTGAAGAAATATTTACCATTGAAATAAACGGACACAATGGAGGCTGGGCTTAGGCAGCTGTGAGACAGTAATTGTAGGAGCAACAGGGTCCCCTGGTGCTAGTTAGATGCAGTTCCCAAAGACAAGCAATATACAAACGTGTCAGAGGGGTAGCCCAGTTAGTCTGTAACCGGAAAAACTTTAAAAAAACAACACATAGAGTAGTTAGTAGCACCTAAAAGACGAACAAAACATGTACAATACACTTACAAACAACAAATACTCTGGTAGACTTTAAAGACTAACAAAACGTGTAGATGGTATCATGAGCTTCTGTGGGCGCAACCCACTTCTTCAGATGACTGGAGTGTTAAAAGTCCAGATCCAAGAATAAATAAGGGAAGAGGGGGGGAAAAAAGACAAAAGGCTGGGTAAAGAAAAAAGAGAGATAGTGAGTAGATCAGTGGTCCCCAACCTTTTGGGGCCGCGCATGCGCCCGGGGCCCGGTACGCAAGAATGGCTCGGGCCAGCCCCGGTCATTAGGTGGGCGCACATAAATGCCCTGGCGGGTGCCATGGTAACCACAGGCACCCTTGGGGACCACTGGAGTAGATGGTTCAAATAATTTCAAGAGGCTGATAAGAACAATTAGCACCTCCATTGTTGGGTTGGTTGGTTAAGTCATTCAGATGTGGAAGGTAGTGTGCCAGCCAGCTGATGTCCCTGTTCATCCATTTGCATAAGAATTAAACTTGTAAATGAAGTTAAGTTCCAATCCTTCCCTGTATTTGGCTTGTGGAATTGGTCTGAAACAATACGGTGACTTGGAGATCCATTAATGAGTGTTAATGGATTAAAGTGTTCTCCAACACTTTAATCCAGGCAGAAGTTTGCGTTGGGGGGAAGGTTGGGTACATAATGAGCAAGGTCAGTAACGTGATGCCCAGTGTGCTGAGCCCAGTGTGCTTATTCCATGCCTATAACCAGTGCAGTGTTCTTTTGTGTGATTTATTTTGCTAATAAATTCAGTTTATTTTATTTATGCTGCCATAACTTCAACATGTCACAGTGTTTGCTACTATTTCCATTATATTTTTCAGGAGGGAACTGGGGGTCTGACAATGTAATGGTAGAAATTTGGCATCCAAAAAGTATGCGAGTCAGTTTATGTTTTTGACATATAGGAGGCTGTTTGAAGTTTTTCACACTGAAGAGAGGCTGCATCTTTTTTTCCTTGCCTCTGCACTTTGGGACATAGATGACCTGAAATTGTGGAGGGGTTCCCACTCCTAGTTCTTCTTCACAGGAACATTTGACAATTAGTAACCTTCACATCAACAAGGCCCGCTGAAATGTATCCTATAATACTCAAGGAGCTGGTTGTAGAGATATTTGAACCATCAGCTATTATCTTTGAAAAGCCATGGAAGACAGGAGAGATTCTAGAAGACTGGAAAAGAGAAAATATAGTGCCCATCCATAAAAAGGGAAATAAGGACAGACCAGGAAACTACAGACCAGTCAACATAACTTCTGTGCCAGGAAATATAGTGGAGCAAATAATTAAGGAATCAATTTGCAAACATATAGAAGATAATAAAGTGATAAATAACAGCATGGATTTGTAAAGAACAAATTAAGTTAAACCAACCTGATAGCTTTCTTTGACACAGTAATAAACCTTGTGGATGGGGTGAAGTGGTACATGTGGTATATCTAGACTTTAGTAAAACATTTGACACAGTCTTGCATGACCTTCTTATTACTAAGCTAGGGAAATACAATCTGGATGGGACTACTATAAGATAAGTGCATAACTAGTTGGAAAACTATTCTCAGAAAGTAGCTTTCAATGGCTTACGGTCATGCTGGAAGGGCATAATTCACGAGGTTCCACTGTGATCAGTTCTTCTCATTATCTTCATTAATGATTTAGATCAGTGTTTCCCAAACTATAGGCCGCAGCCTGGAAAAAAATGCTGGACCTCAGTGTGGCTGCCGGGAGGGGAGTGGGGCGGGCTGGGAGGAGGTGTGTGGGGGGGAAACTGGCCACCGGGAAGCAGGGTTGGGGGCAGCGGGGCTGCCTGGAAGAGTTCGGAGGGGTGGGGAGCAGCTGGTAAAAGCAGGTCTCAATGGGGGTGGGGGCTGGATGGGGGAGATTGGGAGGAG